TTTCTTCCCTTTTATAGGAATTATTTTGTTGATTTAGGGAGTGGTAATATGAAGTAGCAAGAAGGGAGACTGGTAACAGACCAAAAGAGATTGCCAACAGCAACATTAATACTAACACTACAGCTGCCTAAAACCCAATTTCCTTAATTCAGAAAACACTTCTCTGGACCTTTTTTTCTTGAACCCCAAAATGCAGCCTGTCCTCCAGGAACAGTCATATGAGCCTGATTTATTATCATGTTTGTCTCTTGAGGAAGTACTGTAATTTGATACAATGAAAGCCAGGTATCTGTGGACAAATTATTTCCTGAGAATCAATAAACTCTCCTTGACCTCTCCCCAACAACACACGTTTCTTATTGTGCAAGGATTTCAATGTTATAAAGTCTAACCTTGGGGCTTGGAAATATTTGAACCAACTAAAGTCTCTTGTTCGCCTGAGGCATAAGCAAGTCCCGTGACAGAGGATGACGGTTAGAGTTCTGGAGAGGAGTGGAGGGAGCAGTGTGATGGCAGAGAGCAGGGAGTCCTAAGATCCAGAAGAGGACGAACCATCATTGCTAACATGTAATGAGGTTAAGATACGTTTCCATTCGTAAGAGGTAAAGACCACATCTCCTACTGTTATGACTATGGGTATCTTCCGACCTACCTCAAGTTGGAAAATGTCAATGGAAAGACAGACAATAAAGCTTGATGATGTTTTAATTTTACTTTCATCATCCAGTGTGATGGAACAGAAAGGCTGTGCTTCTTGTGTTGCAAGGGTCTTGCTATGGGAAGCACACCTCCAGGAGAGATGGAGCAGCTCACATATGTCCATTCGGAAGATACATAAGATAAGGAAGAATGGGCATTCTAGGAAGAAAGCCCAAAGTGAAAGGTTGTAGGGCTGTCAAAACTTACATTTGCTCCAACATAGAAGCATCCTACAAGATTATTGGTCATAAGGTTAAATAAAAGAAGCCACACACAGTGGGAGAGATCTTAATGAAGCCAAAGTTGCCAAAATGGTCAATATGTTGCATGATCTGGAGCAGAGGAAAAAAACTAAAATGGTGTCTGTGTTAACTATGTAATCAAATATGGAATTTATTTTCATATTTTGAGACAAATCACAAGGAATTGGGAACTGTTACTTTACTTTAGAATATAGCTAACTCCAGAAGGGATGGGGAAGGAGGACAATGGTGGAAAGAAGAAGAAGGAACTAAACAAAGAACATGTATGAATGACCCATGGACATGGACAACAGAGTGGGAACTGACTGTGGGGGAGGGGGCAGGGTGGGATGGGTGGAGGGGGGGAAAGGGGGAAAAATTGAGACAACTATAATAGAATAAACATGATTTTTTTAAAAAAAGAAAAAGAAAAATGCATGTGGAAAAGAATGAACAGGGGGTGATAACCTTAGGCTGGGTGGATAGGAATGGTCTCTTTGAGGAGGTGACATTTAACCTAAAACCTAAACCACCAAAGAAGGAGACATCCATGTAAAACTCTGAAGGAAGAGTTTTAGGCAACCTGATGTCATCAGAGAGAACTCCAAATCTTGAGCTCCGTTTGAAAATTGCAAAAGTCACCGATAGTTTTGAAAAAAATTTTATCAAACAAAACTTCAAATACATAGGACATCTTGTTCCTGGGAGCATAAATAGAATAAGTATTACACTTAGCAATATTTTTGTGGATTAATACACATTTGTTCCTATGTTTACATCTATATTATTTACATGTATATAAATATCTTTATGTAATATGTATTCAAATATATATATTATTTCAAAAATATTGTGATGCTATGGTAAAAAACTAGATCATTAATATTATAATGTTTTCATCTGCAGCATATAAAAGTACCAAAGGCTAAACTAGCAATCCTAAAATAAATCTCATCTATACACATGAAATTCTGTCAATTTCATCCAGAGTCTTGAACCAAGATTTTTTCCAAGAGGTCTTATTAAGAAATAGGAGCAGGATAAAAACCTTGTATATACTATACAAAAGATCTACTTCTAGAGGCCATGTCTTGAAGTACTTCTTTGATATTTAAACCAATGATTCACTTAAAAACTAAAAAATGTAAACTCACACAGAATAATTAGACAGAAACGAGCACATCTGTGATTTATTTGGTAGTCAACAGATATCGGGGCTGTGTGCATGTGAGAAATCTTTCTATTAAAGGCAGTCACCAGGATGAACGCTGACAGAAAATGAACTGTGTTTCAGGCAATGCAATCCAAATGTAACCTCTTTTGCTGTTCTAGACTAGAAGAACAATGGCATAGTCACATGACATTGCAAAGATGGAGGAAGTGCTTTTGTACAACATAGCAAATGTGGCAAAGTTATGGCAGTTACTTCATAGTAAAAAATCTGCAGATACCATTCAAAGACTCAAAAAACCTTAAAATTAAAGGAAGAATACTAATCTACACTCTAGAAGCAGCATTAATAAGTAGATCTCATTGATTTGAAGACAATGTGATATCCCAAAGTGCCTAACTTTGCCTAGCAAAAAAACAAAATGCTCTGATTCTACTGATTACTGCATGTCTTTGTGAATTAGGATTTTCAGCCACAGTTGCCTCTAGAAGAAAAGAGAAATTAATTCATTCATTGGGTTACTGTTATCTTGCTTCTAGTTAGGCAGAACAGTGTAGGAATAAAGAGCACAGATACTGAAGTCAGAATGACTAGATTCCAGTCCAGACCCAACACTTTCCAACTAGGTAAGCTTTAAAACATTCTGAGCCTCAGTTTCCCCATCTTTAACACAGATATAATAATGTCTGCCTCAAAAGTGATTGTCAGGCCCTGGCTATCGTGGCTCAGTTGGCTGGGTGTCATCCCGTAAACCAAAAGTTCCCAGGTTTGACTCCCAGTCAGGCACATGCCTGGGTTGCAGGCTCCATCCCCAGTGGGGGAACATATGGAAGGCAGCCAATCGATGTCTCTCTCCCTCTCTTTCTTTCTCCCTTCTCCTCTGTCTTAATTTAAAAAAAAAAAAAAAAAAAAAAAGTGGTTGCCAGGATTAAATGAAACAAGGTTTGTGAATTTTTTAGTACAGTACCTAGAATACAGTGAGGATTTTTTTAAATTGTCAGTTTTATGATATGAAATAATGAAATACCCACGATTCTCCCCTTAAAAAATAAATTTAAACACAATCTCCATACCCAAGCAAAAGGACCAAAAGGAGACCATTCAATAATTACATAAGATGGGATAAGATGAGATGGGGTAGAATGAGTGGAAGGGTGTGGAGTGAAATGAACCCAAATTTACTAACTAAAACAAAATCTGAATAAAATGCGCAAGGCAAAATATAACAGCAAGCAGTATCAGTCTTTCAATCTTTGTCTCTAAATGATAATAGTAACCCCCTCCTGTTCAACTGGGTTTACCCAAAAACCTGAGGGGTGTTCCTTACATAAAGAGCCGATTGAAATTCTGCTTAGAGCAAGGAAATGCTTTTCTTTTCTGAGGCGCTGGCATGCTTCTGCGTGAGACCTTTGTTACTTACTCCGCTTCATGTGGGACCTTAGCCATGAGGAAGCTCAGGGATATTTATTTTTAGCAACTCCCCCTAGCCTTTAACTTTCATATACTTTCTGTTCCCTACCCTGTCCTCTTTCTTAAGATATTTGTGTACTTTGGTCCTTGTTTTAAATGGTTCTGTTGTACATGTGTCCTTTATAAGTCACCACAAATTTCCCTTTAAAAGTAGATGTCATATAAAGGAAGGAAGAAAAAGAGGAGGGAGGGAAGAGGAAAGATTTTTATTTTTAAGTTTACTGTTAAATAAGGTCTTATAAATTCAGGATCCCTAATCAGACAAACTCAGGGTTCACAATTTTTTTAAACTTCAACTAAACTACTTTACAAGCCTTAAACAAACACATAAAAATACATTTTCCTCAAGCTTAAATTTTACTGTTTTTGTTCTGGTCATTTTCTCACGCTAGTTCTCTAAAGCCTATTAATACAGTGTCCTTGAAACATTGTTCTTTGGTGTGGAAACAAACAAAACAAAACACCAGATCTATTCTCAGCTACCACTTGGTAGCGGCCAGTATTTTGGACGCCTTTTGCCTTCTACAGCGGATCTTCACAGCCCTGGGTTTGCTCATCCTGGCTTCCCCACCTTCTTTCCGGGCAGTTACCTTCTCAGAGGCCAACCCACCTTTGCTTCTGCCCTCTCCTGACTGCCACTATTTCTTCTTATTTACTCAGTTTCATTAGAAACTTTTTGTTTTTTACAGAAGGGGAGTGCTGAGCACATCCAGCTTTGAACCCCTTGCAGAGAACCTGCCAAGGGAACAGTATGAGGTTTGTGCAAATTCTCTCTTGTGAGTTTCTGGGGCTCTCCTTTACCACCATTGTTTCACACACCATTGCCCTCCCCGCTCCCTTTCCTGGGAGCAGCTCTAGCACGTAGCAGGTGACTAAAAAACATTTGTTGAATAACTAGGAAAATTGTTTTCTAAATCACCAGAATTTGTGAATAGTTTTCTACACCTGAAAAGCAAGAACTCTGTGTGCATACCATAATATTTTATTTACAATCCTGGAGAAAAGATTCTTAAACTTCCTTCTTGAAATGAAATTTCACTCTATGTATGTTTGATTATTTGTATATGTGTATGTCCATCGGTATTTTCCTTTTCTCGATTTAGCTAAGTGAATCCAAACGTGTTACTAATGATTTGAATCATTACTCTGCTCTCTGTTCAGTCTGCAGTTAAAAAGAGCATAGAGGTCAGTTCAACCATGTCACCTGTCACCTGGCCCACTCACACACACGTAGTCTTGTACACACAACCGTATGCCAGCCAGCAGTTGACCCTTGCCCTCTATATTTCACAAATAGCACCTCGGTGGGCAGCCTCAGCCTAGACATGGCACTTCTCAGTGCCAGGGCCGGTGTCAGGGACAGAGAGCGGCCCGGGGCCTTCTCTCACTCTAAGCTAAAGAGAGTAGGATGACATTACCTCTCTGGATCCTGATCACGGCCCTCCAGATGCCCAGTCCCAAAATGATGGTGGTCAGCAGCCCACACACAATGGCCACCAGCGTCCTGAGGTCACACACTCGCCAGGAGGCCATGGGAACCCAAACCAAAGATTCACTCCTGGGTGAAAAGCAACTGGCTTCTTGTCTTCTCACGTCAAGAAACTTAACCAGAAATGATTCCAAAAAAATAAAAATAACTTTTTCTTTCAGGGATCTATCAGGCAGATGTCCTCATTTTAAAACCCTTTAAGGGTTATCAGGCAGGATGCAGTTCCAATCACCTAATGAAAGGTGCAAAGGCGGCTCGAGGTTTCCTCACCTTCACTGAATGAGAACATGAGAAAAGTGATTGGAGTGTTGGAGGGGGGGAAGGAAGATAATAAGGGCAATAAAGATGAAGGGGAGGGAATAGGTAACAGGGTCAAAGCGTAAATGTCCTGACAAACAAGGAAGTGGGGGCGGGAACAACACAAAAGAAGCCGGAGAGGAAATCAGGGCGGCAGTGGACCTGCTGACCACTCCCGGCTCAGCCCTCTGCGCTTGCTTTCGTTAGGAGGCTCTAGCGGAGCCTAGACTCCTTCATGGGGAAATGAACCAGGTTGTCAACAGGAGGTGAAATGGCGATACCCACCCTTGACTCCGGTACTTGCACTTCTTAAGGAGCCCACCCTTGGTCAGCTGCAGGTGATGGGTGGGCTTCACAGGCACTGGGTGAAACGCACTGAAGCCCAAGTTACAAACTATCTCTTTTGGGCTGAATCGTGCCCCCCTAATGATCCATATTTTAAAGGCCTAACCCCCAGTGCCTCACACATGACTTTATTTGGAAATAGGATTGTTACAGAGGTAATCAATCAAATCAATCAAATGAGGTTATTGTGGTGGGCCCTAATCCAATATAACTGGTGTCCTGATAAGAAGAGGAAATTTGGACACAGGAATTTTACATTCTTTTTGAGATTTGAAGTTTTCACCTTATGCATTTATTATTTTTTCAATTATAATAACTATATCTATTATTTCTTCAATAATAAAAGAAACCATTTTCAATAAACATGTAAGAGAAAATACCAAGCACTGTGCTATGCACTTTTTGTGTCTTTATCTTACTTACCAGTATTCTGTACAATAACCCCACATAACAGATATTTTTGCCCATTGCATGAATGAACAAAGGTGACTTGGACAGGTATTACTCTAAAAGGAGCTCTGTAGTTAAAGTAATTTGGATGACACTGGGTTACAGAGAGGTGTAACAGTCTCTTTTCACTGTTTTTTTCGGGGCCTTTAATATGTTCATGAACATTGAGATTTGTCAAGAATCCTCTTCGTGAGAAGACGCCCTCAGAGCTGGCATTCTTAGGAACATGCTTGGAGACCCTGTCCTGCACGACCTGCAGAATAGTCTTGGCTCAGTGGTAGGACTGCAGGAACTGCTTGCTCATGGGGCCCATGAATGCCATATGGTGCTGGTGTTTTTCTCTTGTGGGGTTCCAAATATTTTGAAGGGGTTATAGTCTAGTGATGGAAAAACTGATTTTGGTAGAGTCCAGCCATTCTCTCTTCTACACTTGCTGGGAGTGCTAGAATCCTGGGTGCTGCAATAACCATCGCTTCCTAGCGCTTTTGTATCTTCATCTGTATGCCAGCTTTCCAGCTGGGAACTTTTAGAAATTCATGGAATGGAAGAAATCCCTAGGCACAGAAATTTAGATGTTGACATATAAAGGTATGGATTTCTATGGGTTGTACACAAATATATAAAGTAATTCGTTTTTGTACACACATGTGTCAACATGACAACAAAGAAAAAGAAAAAACTAAAGAGTGACTAGTTCACTTTTTCATTCATTCTACGCAATGCATACACTGTGTTATGTGCTGAGGATAAAACAGTGAATGAGGGAGGCAAGGTCCCTGCTCTCACACAGCTGCAACTCAGGGAGACCTGGATCTGCACGGGCGTTGTCTCTCGTTTGCCATGTGCCATGGACAAACTCGATCAGCATCTGAACTTCTGTTTCTTCATATTTTAAACAACCTGACTGAGGCCTTCCATTCCTTAACATTTCAGTCCTAATGTTACGAGCTGAGGAAGAACAAGGTAGGGAGCTGTGGGGATAGAGAGAAGCACTAGCCCAGGGCAGATGTTAGAACCCAGTGGGGTTAGGAGGGGACCTACAAAGGGTAGGGCAAATTGTTGGGGGAGAGCCTGACATGAGGTGCCAGGCCCCACGCAGTGTGAATAAGACACCCCCCACCTGATGGGGAGAGGCAGCCTGGCATGGGGCATCAGAACCAAGGGGTAAGAATAATGCAATATGGGAAAGCAAAGCCAGAGCAGGGAGAGGAGAGCATTCCTTCAGAGACTCAGAGGGATCAGGAGGACAGACAGGCCCAAGGGTGGGCTGGAGGGTGTGGGAAGTCTGAGGCGTAGTTAGTGAGGAGGGTATCCGCATGGGGCGGTAATCTAAAATGGGGAGTCAGACCACGAGCAGAGAGAAAGGGGTGTCAACACATAGATGGGAGTTGGGGGTGAAGATCAGAGATTGGTTACATATCAGATGACCAATTAACAGGTAATCGTATAAGAATAATTGGAGCCATTTTTTTTTTATTCTAGCATAAGGGGGTTACAAATATGGAAAAGAAGACAGCTGGGATCCCATAAGAATTTGAAAACAATTAATCAGAAATACTAAGAAAGAAAAACAAATGGAGACAACTGTATTCAAACAATAAAAAATAGAAAGAAAGAAAGCAAGAAAGAAGGAAGGAAGGAAGGAAGGAAGGAAGGAAGGAAGGAAGGAAGGAAGGAAGGAAGGAAGGAAGGAAGGAAGGAAGAAAGAGCAAGTTAAGTGCAATGGATTCTGAAGGAGGTGTAACCTCCAGGGAAGATGGCTGTCAAATGAATGCATGAATCAGTCATGAACTTCTCATTCGAAAGAGGAAAACTTATGGGTACAACAAAGATGAGTGTTTCAAAGGAAGTGTGATATTACTTTTTATTTCTAACACGTGAACTAAATTCCATTTGCCTTTAAAAAAATACCTGTAGTGTTGGATCAGAACTGGATGTATACATAAATACAAACTCATTGTTTTCAGTACATACATATATGTTGAAATAATATGTATACTTTAATATGTACTTAATAAATATATTTATATACAGGGTGGGGTAAAAGTAGGTTTATAGTTTTTCATATAGAAAATAATGCAATAGTTAAAAATAATAATACAAGAATAAACTCTGTTTCATGTACTCACACAACTGTAAATCTACTATTGCTGCCCTGTATATAAACAATATAGAAGTTACCATCAATGCAAAGGTGTGTTAATACACAAAATATATATTTTCACGTTTATGACATATATCGCAAACTTAAACACGTATATTCTCAGCTCTGGTCATTCATAAGGTCTGGAAACAGTGACAATCCATTGGCAATGAGCACACCTGCAGCCCAGATCTTGATTTCTAAAAATGAATTTCCACAAAATCCAAGATGAGTTCTGATTATCTCATGCCAGAAAGCAAAGACATATTCAAGAAATAATGGGTACACATCAAATGGACACAGAATCCATCATGCAGTGACAGTTTGAGCATCAAAATAGATAATTATGATAACATATTATAATTCATTAAATGAAATACGAAATCTACTGAATCTGAAACTCTGGGGGTGTGGCCTGGCAATTTGTGTTTTAACTAGTCCTCCAACTTGATGCCCACTGAAGTTTGGTATCAGACTGTTTAGGGTAATTCTCCCAAAGAAGATAATTGAATTTGCAATAAATTAGCAAACAGCAAAAGATTAAATGGCTTTTTTATAATAGGACATTCCTTTGTTAATGTTTATGGGACATCTCATGGCATTAAAGATTGCTGGATATTCAGATAAGTATGCTAAAATCCATAACAAGTCTATATTTTTGTCATCTGTGAAACTACTATTCTGTCATTTATCTTATTTATTTATTTAGCCAGATTTTTCGTGGATTTATACCCAGAAGTGTCAAGAAGTTCTGAAATCTCTTTTATAAGCACACATTGTTTTATTGTATTTCATTTTATTGAGCTGCATAGATGTGGCATTTTTAAATAAACAAAGGCAAGGCTTTCTGCCAGCAAAAAGATTACAACTTGCTTTATTGAGCTATTGGCTTTAATACAGTTGTCTGGAATGGAACCCACACTATCTTTGAGTCATTCCTTTATTTCCCTACCCTCTGGACCCCCGTGGAGAGTTAAGTACACAAAACCTGCTTGCGTTACTTCCCGTGACATTGATGACAAAGGCCAATCTCAACTTCCCCTCATATTATACCTTAGAAATGAGCCTGTGGGTTTCTCTGTTGGAAAACCTCCTGGTAGCAGGTGCTTCTCCTTCATTATTGAAAACCCTTAAATTCACCTGTTTGTATATCTCTACAGCCCTACCCCCCTCTTTTTCTACCTGGTGGTCAATGAAGGGTGGGGAGAAATGCAACAGAAAAGCTCTTCCTACCCAGGTCACTGACCTTTCTTTGTGCCTTCCTGCTTTTCTCTGCTCTACACCCTTTGATCCACACCACACCCCAGGGCCAGGTGTTCCAGACAGGTTCCCCAGGACAGACTGCCTCCTGGAGGCGAAATTAGCATCTGTTCATGAAAAGTGACTCGCTAAACACTAGACGTTTGCTACGTATGAAACTAAGATGTGTACTCGTGCAAAATGCTAACCTCTATTGAATGTAATCCTGAATTAACCTCTCTCTGCCCCAGAAGATGACAAGGAACCCTCAGATTCTCCTTTTAGTTTTGAATTTCCTTCTGCATCTTGCTCCAGAGAACATCAACTCTTCTCTTTATCTCTTCTGACTCGTTCCTTATATCTTTTTCCCCACCTTTTCCCATTTTATTTCTTCCCTTTAACATCTCAATTAACATCAAATCTGAGCTGATGGGTGTAATATGGTAGAGACTGAAAGAGGAAAGAAATGATTGATAGGGTTAGGTTAAGAAGTATAGGGTAGTAAATAATTTGATTTTCTTATGTTTCCTTCTAGAAAGCTTGATTCAGGTGAAAGGTAAATCCAGAATT